CCACTTAAAAATAGTCAACAAATATTTGACAAAGGAGTATAGGTGATACATCAGAGAAAAAGTAGTCCCTTCAATAAATTGTGCTGGAACAGTTGGACATTCATATGCAAAAAAAAAAAAAAAAAAAGAAAGAAAGAAAGAAAGAAAAGAAAAAGAAAAAAGAAAAGAAAGAAAAAGAAAAGAAAAGAATATAGACACAAAGCTCACACTTCACAAAAATTAACTCAAAATGAAGCACAGACTAAATGTAGAACATAAAACTCCAAGAGAATAACCACATAGGAGAAAATCTAGGTTATCTTGTTTTTTTGTGTTTTTATATCAACACCAGAGGCATAATTCATGAAAAAATGTTTCATAAGCTGAACTGAACTACATTAAGATTAAAAAAAAAACGGGGGTGGGGGTGCTGGGGTGGTGGCTCAGTGGGAGAGCACTTGCCTAGCACATGTGAGGCTTTGGATTCGATTCTCAGCACCAAATTTAAATAAATAAAATAAAGATCCATTGACAACTAAAAAATATCTAAAAAAAAAAAAAAGATTAAAAAAACTTCTCTATGAAAGAAACTGTGAAAAAAGTGAGAAGATAAACCACAGACTGGGAGAAAATATTCACAAAAGGCATATCTGAAAAGGACTGTTATCCAAAAGAATTCTTAAAACTCAACAGTAAAGACTGGGGATTCAGCTCAGTTGGTAGAGTGCTTACCTTGCACACAGAAGGCCCTAGGTTCAATCCCCAGCTCCACAAGACAAAACAAAAACCTTAACAATAAGAAAACAGCTTGATTTTAAAATAGGCAAAAGAGACTGGGCGTGGTGGTGCATACCTATAATCCCAGCAACTCAAGAGGCTGAAGCAGGAGAATCACAAATTGAGGCCAGTCTCAGCACTAAGCAAGCCCTAAGCAATTTAGCAAGACCTTGTTTCTAGATAAAATATATTTTATAAAGGGTCTGGGAATGTGGGTCAGTGTTTAAACTCTCCTACGTGATTCAATCCCTTGTACCAAATTAAAAATAAATAGGCAAAAGGCATGCAGATGGTAAACAAGGACAGATAATCCTGGACTTACAATGGTTCCACTTGTGGTTTTCACTTTTTTACTTTTACTTTTCTTTTAAATGCATTTTTAACTTAATGATATTTTCAGCTTACACTAGGTTTATCAGGATATAACCCCATTATAAGTCAAGAAGTATCTAGATATAAAAAGATGCTTACCCAGGCATGGTGTGCATACCTGTAATCTCAGCTACTTGGAAGCCTGAGGCAGGAGGATTGCATGTTTGAGACCAGGTTGGGCAACTTAATGAGACCCTGTCTCAAAATAAAAATTGAAAAAGGGATGTAGATGTAGCTCAGTGATGGAGAACTTGGCTAGCATCCAGGAGGCCCTGGATTTGATCCTCAGCAAAACACAGACAGACA